GTGGCGGGGGAGGGGGCGTTCCTCCTCGCACCCGCCGAGGATGGGAGAGGGTGTTTGGTGTTGCTAAGCGCAGGCTGCGACTTGGACAGTGGGAGCTCGTGGTGACATCTTGATTAGGCCTTGGGGACAGCTGCGAGCCGTCCCGGGGACATGCCGGGACGGAGACGGCCCGGGTGGGCATGGGTAGCGGAGGGTCGAGGTGAAGAGGCGCCTTGGCAGCAGATGCCTCCGCCTGGAACGGAGATGCGAGGGGCCTCGGCTTCCTCCCCACAATAGAGCCGGGGATGGGCGGCTCTCTCTGCTCCTGGACCCGCTGTTCGCTGCCGGCAGCTAGCATCCCGGCACCTTGGAGCTGCGGGGCAAGAAAGGGAAAGCGGTTAGGACGAGGTCCCTTGCAGAGGAGCGTGGAGGCTCTCCCGCTTCCCGGCCATCCCTAGAAGGAGCCCCTCGGAGGGGTTAGGAAGGGCAGCGGGAGCAGGCGGCGGACTCCCTCCTTAGCTTGGGGGATGTCTGTCTCCCTCCTGCCTTTCTGCCCCGGACTCACCTCCTTGTGCCTCCGAGGTGAGCCTCATGATTTGGCTTTGCCCTCCAGGGGTCCAGGCAATCGATGATGACTTTGACCAAGAAAATGTCTCTGAGACCTGAGAGCAGCCTTAATGCTTGGCTTGGACAGCCTGGGGTTTCCTGGGAGTCCCAGGCATTTGAAATTCCCTCACTGGGGTTTCTGAGGCTGAGAGGAGAACTGCTGAACTTCCCAAATCTGATTCTAGTCCCCTTCTCCCCTTCGCTGGGAATCACCATCCCGGGGGCCCCACAAAGGTTGAATACGCCCCGGAATGATTCACTTGTATGCATTAGCCCCTTGAAGTAGACTTGAGCCTGCTTCCGCTCTGGCCTTGATCCTCGGGTAGCAGCGGCATCAGAGAGCCTCCTGAACTACTGACGTGATCCTGGAGGCACCTGCTCTGCCTCCTGTTCCCAGGCCGTAATAGGGAGAGCCACAGAGGATATTCCCCCTAATGTCTCTACCTATCCCTTTAAGGACATTTCTCCCCATATATCAAGGCTCTGGCCCCAAGAGGCAGCTTCAATCTAGTAGGCTGGGACCCCGATGGACTTCCAGCGAGCTCCTACTCCCTTCAGGGTCAAGGGCTCAGGGCCAGGGCCCAGAGAGAGCCCTGCTCTTCCCCGTTGCTAACATCGAGAGATGTAGGGCAAGTCAGCACTAAGGATTGAAAAGGAATGAGACGATGCCCTTTCAACCCTTCTCACCTCAGTTAACCCTCCGCGTAGTTTAAATGACATATTTTAAAACTGGGTCTGGGTCTCCAAGTCTCAGCTCACACTCTGAGATGCTCACTTTGTGATGTGTGTGTGGTTCTGATTTGGGCAACGTTTGTAGATAGCCGCGGCTCATCTAAAGAGCCCCAGCTGGGGAAACTTGGCTTTAAGCCATAAGGCTTTTCCTATAGGTAGTAAACAATTTCCTTAGACTTTGATGGGATAGCGTGCGGGAAATGGGACTTTTAGGAGAGGAGACGAACGGGAAATGGTCCCAAAGTCCTGAGTGGTTGTTTTCTTCCCACTGACCAAAGCCGGAGAGGGATCCCTCAGGAGGGTGTGTTCCGGATTTCTTGCCTCAGGCCCAAGACTCCAACCATTTTATAATGGAATCTTTATTTTGTGAAAGTAAGTATGTTCATAGCTGGGAAACTGGGTAAAGTACTAATAGGTGGATTTTAGGGATGAATTTTAGGGTTTCTCTCTCTCTTTCTCACTCTCTCTCTCTCTTCCATATTTAGGGCTGTCTGCACACATCCATGCATGTTCATGTTAGCAGATACTGTAGAGGCTATGAGTATGTTTATCCCAGTAGGTATGTTCTCTGTATGTGTATCTACATATGTGATCTTGTCTGTGTCTGTGTGTGTTTGTCTACATGTGCTTTATTTCACCTGTGTATTTGTGTAAATGATTGTGGGGAGGAGGGATTTTTTTTTATATCTTTAGGTGTGTTATCTGATTTTTTAAAAGATATATGAACGTCTCAAAAAGCATTTTTACAATGCAATTTGTCAACAAGTTAAAATGAATATAATGAAAATAAACTGATTATTTCACTATCAAGGGAATACCAAGTTGTAAATATCTGATTGGAGTCATATCAAATAGGACACTTTCTAGAGTAGTCAAATTTCGCTAATTTTAGAAAATCTAATGGGCCCAGCTCCCCCCTCCTGAAACAGTGAGTCCCAGTTGGCTGGGTAGGTGGTGGTTAAGGACATGGGCACCTCTTTTATGTGATCAGCTTCCAGTTCTACCACTACTGGCTATATAACCTTGGGCAAGTAATGCAGCCTTTTTTGTGCCTCAGTTTCCTCACCTGCGAAATTAGGATAATATTGGTACCTACTTCATTGGGTTGTTGTAAATGAAATAGTTCAATTAAGGTGTATGAACATTGCCTGGCCATAGTAAGCATCAGTTCATGTGAGCTGCCATCGTTATGATTGCTATTATTATCATTAGATTCAGGGACAATTCCAGCCGCCCCTCCTGCAGATCCCGTACCTGGGGGCTCCGGAGAGGAACGGTAGGGAAGAACCAGCTGTCCTGAACGCCTCCCTGCTGAGGCCCCCATTTTCCTCTCTGCCCTGGCCCGCCCAGCCCCAGCCCTGCTTCCTGTGGACGTCAGGCAGTGATGCTCTTCCCCTCAGGCCTAGATAAAGGTAGGGTGGGCAAGACCCAGCCACGGAGCTCGCGGAAGTCAGCACGGGGCACCCAGGCCGGCCAGGGCACAAGGTATGGTGCCCAGCGTCCAACACGGCCTTGTACATGGCTACAAGATCAATGTAACTGAGTTTTGAAAAGATGAGGCAGTTTACTAACGACGACAGCTTCACCTGCCCTCTTGCTCTCTCCTCTAAGGTAGCGGGGACTCATCTCTGGAGAAGGAGTTCCTTGGGGCCCCAGTGGGGCCCTCGGTGAGCACCCCCAACAGCCAGCACTCTTCTCCCAGCCGCTCACTCAGCGGTAAGTGCGCCCCCCTCCCCTCGCCTGGCACAAGGCGTCCCTGTTTGTGTTTGGCCCTCGATTCATCTTCCATTGGCAGCCATTTCCCCATCGCTGCCTCCCTCTGGTTTCCTGCTCAGAGTCTCTCAAATCACTAAGGAGCTCCGTGTCTGGGATTTCCCTCACTTCTGAAAGAAGAATGAACTCTCACTGCCAGGCAAGGGTGGAATTCACAGAGGCATGGGTGGGATTAAGGTAAAGGCCCCAAAGAGAAAGTCTGGAGTGAGAAGAGCAGGTCGATAGCAATGGGCACGAGCTGGAGGTAGACAGGAAGCAGACATGAGAAGGGTCTCCTCATCACCCCCCGTAGTCTCCTGCCCAGAGGGTCCCCCGGACTGCCTCTCCTCAGCTGGCCCCAGATCTGTGACATTCTCCAAATGGTTGGAATAGCCAGGAATGTAGGTCAGAGCTAGAGCCAAAGCTTTCTCCTCAATGGCTCCCCCTCCTCCATCCCCCTCTGGTTGTGATGGAGGGGAGGAGAGGGGCTCAGTCTTATGGGGTGGGAGGAGAATGTAGGCCGTGTCGGTCTCCCAGTTTTACTCTCTCTCTTTAGCCCTGTCTCTTCGGACGTCTAGGACTGTTTTCCTGACACTGTTACTTGCTGGCTTCCTGCCCAGGGCCAAGTCAGACATCTTTCTTAATGACAAGAGAGTGGAGAAATAGGCTCCCCTTAGCTTCCTCCTCTCCCCAGTGCTTTTCCCTCCAAGCCTATTTGCCTGGTCCATGGGGTAGGAGGACAAGGTTGCTTCGGGTCCCAGCAGGACCCTGGTGTCACCACTCTGGACATCTAGGGTATTGGCCTCCTTTGAAGCCTGAAGGCCTCAGGGCTCAGAGGCTCCTTTGGACTCGAGAGGGCCATTCTGGCCTGGGGGAGGCTCTCCCCTTTGCCGGTCTCTGTCCTAAACACCATCCCACCCTCCAGCCAACTCCATCAAGGTGGAGATGTACAGCGATGAGGAGTCGAGTAGACTGCTGGGGCCAGATGAGCGGCTCCTGGAAAAGGACGATAGTGTGATCGTGGAAGACTCGCTGTCGGAGCCCCTGGGCTACTGTGATGGAAGTGGGCCAGAGCCTCACTCCCCTGGTGGCATCCGGCTGCCCAATGGCAAGCTCAAATGTGATGTCTGTGGCATGGTCTGCATTGGACCCAACGTGCTCATGGTGCATAAACGCAGTCACACAGGTGAGTAAGCCAGGGGACCAGGGAGGAACTCCCACGTGGGCCCGAGAGGCAGAGGCAGTACTGGGAGGCCATGCCTGGGTGGGGTAGCCTTGGAAAGGGAAGGGTCTCTCCTGGCACATATTCTAGCTGAGGGAGGGGGAAAAAGGGTTGAAATTCAGCCTCCCTGAATGCCTATACTTTCCTGGCACTTTCTTCAGCTCTTATTATAAAGAAAAGCCAATACTCTTCTGAGGAAGTGAGGAAGGGGGAAGTCTTGTAGCCTCAAGAAGGATCCTAGCTCTGGCCAGGTGGCGCAGTTGGTTGGAGCATCATCCCATACACCGAAAGATTGCGGGTTCGATTCTGCTCAGGGCACATACCTAGGTTGTAGGTTCAATCCCCAGTCAGGGCACATATGGGAGGCAACCAGTAGATGTTTCTCTCTCTCTCTTCTTTCCTCTCTCTGAAATTAATTTTTTAAAAATATCCTTGCCCTAGCTGGTTTGGCTCAGTGAATAGAGCGTCATCCTGTGGACTGAAGGGTCCCGGGTATGATTCCAATCAAGGGCACATGCCCAGGTTGCGGGCTCGATCCCCAGTGTGGGGCATGCAGGAGGCAGCCAATCAATGATTCTCTCTCATCATTGATATTTCTATCTCTCTCTCCCTCTCCCTTCCTCTCTGAAATCAATAAAAATATATTTTAAAAAACCAACCAAACAAAAAAACATATCCTGAGAGCATCAGCCTGTGCACCAAAGGGTGGTGGGTTCGATTCCCGGTCAAGGGCATGTACCTGGGTTGCAGGTTCAATCCCTGGCCCAGTTGGGCACATGTGGGAGGCAACCAATTGATACGTCTCTCTCACTTTGATGTTTCTCTCCTTCCCCACCCCACTCCCTTCCACTTTCTCTAAAAATCAATGGGGAAAAATATTCTCAGGTGAGGATAACAACCAAAAAACATATCCTCGGGTGAGGATTTAAAAAGAAAGAGAGAGAAGGATCTATACCTAATGGGGATAGGACTCCTGGGTATTATTTGGGCCCTCCCATCGATGAATAAAGAAAAAATACGGAATATAGAAGCCTCTTCTCAGCTTCCTTGGGCTCTGGGCTCCTGCGCCAGTGAGAGCCCGATGGGGCTTGGTTTGTGATAAGGGTCTTTCGGCCCCGTGTTCCAGGCCTAGTGCGCTCCTCCCTGCCACAGCCCCTCATCCACCGCTTCCCAGGATCAGACTGCCCCAGGGATCTGTATTAAGCAGGATCAGTATGAGTGGCACCGCCCTGCCTCTCAGAAATGTGTTCTGAGCCCGTTCCCTGAGCCAGGGTGGGGCAGGGTGG